TTCGGATGCATATGCATCCGAAGAAGTGGGCTGTAGTCCACGAAAGCTTATGCTCTAATAAATTTGTTAGTCTCTAAGGTGCCACAAGTCCTCCTGTTCTTCTTTAAGCATTTACAGTGCTACTTTTGGGTACTCTTGAATTTAACGTTTGAAAGTAGTTGCAATTGTTGGTTTATATCTGACACCTAGCATTGTATATGATTTGTGTTTGGAAATAAAGCAGTCGTTGCATGTCTGTCTTCTGTAGGGACTAAGCAGTGGTGGTTTGGTGGTGGAACAGACCTGACTCCAACTTACTTGAATGAAGAGGATGCTGTTCATTTTCACAAAACTCTGAAGGAAGCTTGTGATCAGCATAATCCAGAACTGTACCCCAAATATAAGAAGTGGTATGTGTGGGGAGATGTACTTGCATTGTTGTTTACCTTGGGTCGGATTTTTTTTTTTTTATTTGTGGGAAGGAGGCGGTATCACACAACAGGCCGTGCTAATGCTGTTGCTTTAGGTTAGTTATTAGCTCACCTCACAAAACTATTGGGAATCTTAGTTAAGCATCTGAGAATGATATATAATTAGTGTGGTTTATCAGGGCCATGTTCTGCCCTCTGATATGTATGAGCAGCTCCCAGTGAACATCCGCTGGAGCTGCCAGTGTGTATCTGGGTAAAATTTGGCCAGATATGTTTGTAAAGCACTTGGAGATCTCCATTATTCATATGCAACAAAAATTTCAAATATGAATGTCTAAAATTGGGCTCCTAAATCGATATTTGTAGCCTGTTTTCCAGAGGTGCTGACACAGATCTCCTGTGTCAGCTTGGGCAAGTAACTTAACGTCTGTGTGTCTCACTTTCCCCATTGGTAAAATGGAGGAAAATAATAATAAATGCCCCTGTGAGATGGATGGTAAGGGTTAACTTATTACACTCTGAAAAGAACTGAGATCCTCTGAAGGGGGTGACTGCTGTAGAATCACAAGCTAATTCGCTTGCTGCTCTTCATTGAAAAGAGAGTTTTCTACTATGATATGGGCTGTTTGCACTAATAATGTCTTTAACTGCTCTGTTTTCATAATTTTACTTGTTGCTAACCTATCTCAATAAATAATACTGTACGATATGGCACAACGTCTGACACATGTAACTTGCGCAAGGTTTAGGTGATATAACTCTAAAGAACACACTCGCCCTCTGTTACAATTGGGAATGTTTTTGCAAGTTATACATGACTGAAATTGTCAACTGCTTTATTTATTGATAACAATGCCTTTCATTCGTGCCTGCTGCCTTCCATATGAGCATCTCAAAGCACATTACAAATATTAAGCAATTAAACCTAGACCTTCATTCCAATGCCCTAGTCACAAGACCATCTCTATCTCCTTGTAACACTAGCATATTTGTATTTATTTTGTATCTTTGGAGGAAGAGATGGGGGAAAGTAGCAGGAGATACAGATATTGGTGGGGTGGAGGAGGGAGGGAATGTCAGAAAGCAAAACCCGTTGAGAACTTTCTTCTAGTTTCTATGAAATAGTGTTAGATGTGAGGAGCCACAATGGGGCATCTTAATTTTAGACATTCAGAGCTGCAAAAGACCTATTGGTTTACTTTGTCCATTCTCTGGCAATGGAGGATTGCAGACCAAAAGTGCTTTGTCCAATTTAATCTCTTTTATGAATGTTTCAAGCAACTGGGCTTTCATGCCTCCCCCTGGGAGATTATTCCACAGAGCTCTCTGGTGGGAAACATTTTATTTATGGTTCAAGCTAAGAAACTTACTTCTCTTTTTATCCCTCTGCTCCCAGATATCTTGTGCATTGTTAGCCCATCCTAAACAATTCCTCTTCCTCGTGGGGGCAAGACCCTCGGGTGCAATTGCCAAAAGGAGTCGGAGGTAGTTTCTCTGCTCTCACTGAAATCTGTAGTAAAACTCCCATTGACTTCAGTGGAATCAGTTGGGCTAGCACTGCACTTTTGAAAATCCCACCCCAGCGTCTTTGCTGTCAGACAAAGCAGCCAATTACTGGGCTAAATTATATTACTCAGAACTAATTAGGGTGCTTTTGGGGGTGGGGGAAGGAGTTTGTCCTTGTTGCATGCAAGGGGAGCGTCCTGCTATGTAAACAGCTGCAGCTTTCAATGACAAATGCATTGGAAGCTCAGCTGTGCATCACTTAAAGACATAGATTTAAGCTGACTGTCTCTCTTGCTTTGGAAGACGTAGCTGATGGTGCCCTTCAGTCTTAAAGCATAATGGATTGCTTGCTGCTCTGTGTCCAGTGTCTTATCTGCCACAAGCTATGGTATCCAGAGGAAGGGTAACTTCTTTCTGTAAGCTGCCAGCCTTTGTCTGAGTGTGAGAGATAAAGTGGGTGGTGTGAGTTCATTTTTGCTGTTATCTGGGGGCACGCTAGTTAATGTGCATGTGATGATCTTCTCTTCGAGGAATCTCTTATATAGTAGGATATATCCAAGTGCTTCTGTGCAGGTTGTTACAGTTCCTTTACTAGATGAGAAAGCTATTCAAGCAAGCTACAGAGGTTGAGGATAGCTAGTAGTGTAGGGTATGTCTGCTTAAAGTGTGAACAGATACCCACAAGGAAGGCTGTACAACCATTACTCATTATCAAGTGATGTATATGTATGCAGGGGAGAGGAGAGAATCTAGTGGAATTAGCATGCACTTCCTTGTTCCTTACTCAGAAGGCATCCTCAGGGAGGAATACACTCCTTCCTCTCCCATGAGGAGGGGAGATGAATCACTTCCTTCCTATGCAGACAGCCCAACTCTAGTGTTTGGTTTAAGAAGCAGTTGTCTAGGGACATGTGTGCTGCAACTGAACCCAACTTTCTCAAATGGAAAAGCTCGCGCTTATACTTGCTATGCTAATTTCTGTCCTAAGTGTCTCATCAGGTTTATACTCTATGCTCTTCTGTTGAGTTTCACATGCTGTCCCACTGCTTTCTAAGGCCTGGTCTATGCTAGTGGATATCGATCTAAGTTACGCAACTTTAGCTACATGAATAACTTCACTGCGGTAGGTTGACAGCTGACGCTCCCCTGTCGACTCCACCTGCGCCTCTCGCTCCGGTGGAGTACTGGAGTCGGGAAAGCGCTCAGCAGTCGATTTATCGCGTCTTCACTAGACGCGATAAATCGACCCCTGCTGGATCTATCGCTCCGGAGGTAAGTGTAGACATGCCCTAAGTTTCACTCTCCACCCACCTTGGAATAAAAAGCCGATTCTCCCAGCAAAAGAGAGATGTCTTTCAATTTACAGTAACTTCTCCATCTCAGTGCATGTATGGCCCCACATTTTTGTTTTTATTGCTTGAGAGCAGCCATTGTGGGCAGATCTTATGAGATTCTAGTACTGAGAGAGAGAGACGGGATCTCCTTGGAGGAACCCTCTAACAGGAAAGGAGATACACTGTCCTTTTTTGTCTCAAAATGCACAGCCGTTCTGATACTAAGACTTTCTCATTCTGTCTCAAACTTGAAAATGGGCCTGCTTTCATGGGCAAATGTTGCTAAGATTTGTGAATCTTTCATGTGTTTAAAAAAAAAAAACTAGTAAAATTGCAAAGGAGAAAGTTTTTTAGGGAGAACGTGAAATTGCAGAAACTTGTGTGCAGTCTTCCACAAAATAAAATGTGAATTTTTATACAGCTCTGGAAACAAGGGCTGCAGAGCTCAGTGAGATGTACCTTAATAAGACTTTTCCCCAGTTTCCTTGGTAAGGTGAAAGGTGTGGACTTGTACCCTTGAAGACTAATGTTTGCATACGTAGCCACGTATTTCAAAATCTGCTGTTGTACTTGTTCGCACATGTGCAGTAGCTGATCTTTTTTCAAAGTAAGCAGTGTCGTGCTTCGTTATACTGAGAGTATGATTTAATCCTTAAAGGCAGCTAATGTAGAGCCTAGTCCTGCATGGTGCTGAACATCTTTAGCTTTCATTTAAGTCAATGGGCGAAGATGGCATTCAATAGCTTGCAGGATTTGGCCTTTCGTCTGCATTTCACCAGTCTAATGTCTGGGGGTTTGATTGTTTTTCTCTGAACTTATTGCACTAGCCTTGACATCTGGTTGTTGCTTCTTCCAGGTGTGATGATTACTTTTACATCAAGCACCGTGGAGAGCGAAGAGGGATTGGGGGCATATTCTTCGATGATCTGGACTCTCCCTCAAAAGAAGAAGTATTTCAGTTTGTGCAGAGTTGTGCCAAAGCCATTGTGCCTTGCTACGTTCCCATTGTGAAGAAACACGCCCATGACTCTTTCACACCAGAGGAAAAATTATGGCAACAGCTTCGTAGAGGGAGGTGAGTAATGCAGGAACAAAATGTAACATAGTGGAGTTGGGGAAGAGGAGAAAGTGAGACTGGTTCCTCTGTCATGACACGAGGAAAACTTACTCTTCTGTAACATTCCCACATTGAATCTTTGCAGAGTCACAAAGTTATGTTTTAAAAATAGACCCTGAAAATCCTACTTAAGTTGGTACAACTGCATTTTTAGGGGGGGGGGGGTTCCCCCACTTTTTAAAGGTGTTCAGGCTGATTCCATTTTAGAAGTATAGGATCCTATGCTTCTTTTGCCAGTACAAACTGAACTCTTCATAGTAAATGCAGTATTTTTGCCTGAAGAGATTTCTTTTGTATACTCTGAAATCCCTGGAACTCTCAAGAGTTCAAAGAGAGTCTCTTGAGCACTGCCAATGATACTCATTAGTAAAACATGAGGTTTTTAAACTAAGAGGAAATTGGCCAGCCCTGCTGGTACAGCGCTTGTGTTTTAATGTTCTGTAATACAGTGAGTATGGGGACAAAGATAAATAAGAATACAGACTAGGAAAAATCAGGCCATCCAGTTCCTGCATTTCTTAAAAGTAATAAAGTGCTTTATGTAGAACTTTCCTTTTTAATTCCTCTCTCCCCTTTGAAGAGCCCATCTTTATGATAGTGAAATTTAGTGAGGCAAGATGTCTTGCAGGACAGTATTGTAGTGGGCTTTCAAATGCCTTTTGTCACTAGATACATACTGAAAAGGAGCTATTGCATATATGGCACTCCTTAAATACCTTGCTCTAGCAAAACTCCTTCTCTGTTGATTTAGAAATTGTCTGTAGCATAACAAAGCTGAAGGGACTGAGAATCCCCTGTAAATGTCAGCTGGAATCCTTTTATTAATTGCTGTGGTACTTCCTTCCTTCTACACGGGGAAAAATAACCCTTTTACTCCACCATTTCTATTCAAAATATGTATTGCTATTTCTGATTGTCTGGCTTCCTCCCTTTCTTTAAAGAAAGTGAATGAACCAGTAAAGGGATATAGAAAAGAATAAGACTGCAGTTGAGTTTAGGTCCCTGTCCTACAGCCTTTACTCACCTGAGCAATCCCGCTTACTTTAATGGGGCTACTCACATGAGCAGAGCATTGCAGGATCAGGCCCATTGAATGGTGGTGGCAAACTCTGGAGGGTTGTGGGAAAATAGGTTTCCATTAGGTTGCAGCCTAGACCCTACTAGGCTGCTTACTACGTTTGATCTCCCTGCAGAGCCTTGGGCTAGGTTATTTTCGTTCCTCTGTATGAAGATAAGGAACCCCTCCCTTCACTGTCTCTCTCTTAAACGTGTCTGGTTGTTAAGATAGCCACTTCTGAATTGTAGGGGCTCTTTTCAGTGCCCTAAATGCTGGAGCAAGACAGTGAAAGCAGAGTGGCTGCTGCTGTGCCACGCAGGGTCCCCGCACTCTCCCATTTGAGGGGCCGAGGCAAAGAACAATAACAAAGACATCTGGGCCACAACAGTGCTTCAGGTGTCCCAGTTTGCATGTTGACCCCTACTTACAGAATACACCATGTGCCTCAGGAAGTGTCTCCGAGCTTTAGCAGGGCATTTAGGTGGGGATTGAGCTTTTTGTGATCTGTCTCGAATGCTTTCCACTAAAATTTTATCTTAATTTCCTTCTTTCTTAACTCCGTACAAGAGAGTTGTGTCCACTTTTGCACTGGCAGGTGCTACCTCATTCCTGTATTTTAAATCATGAAGTGAAGTTCTTGTCTTATATAGCTTTCACTTTTAAATCTCTATCTATAGCCACTCTTGGGGTCAATGCTTGGAATTTTGAATGGGTGTTTTAGCCCAGCAACTCGGGCAGGACAGGTCCAGCACAGCCTGGACAGAGTTCAGACAAAATATGGCAGTGGGGACTGGGAGTCAGGTGTTACTGGATAATAGAGTTTCCTTTTCCCAAATCCCCCGCCTCACTCTCTCTCTGCCACTGTTCTGGGATGCTGGGCATTTTATAATTCCCTGCAGCTGACTCTGCCCTACACATCCTTGTATAAGTGCTGGGTAGCTGTGGGTCTTTCTTAGTGAGAGACTGTTTACCCTTTCCCTATTAGCTATCGGACAGGGCCACCACAGATCCTTACAATAGTCAAAAGGGAGTCTAGCTGGATGAGCTCCTTTGGAAAATGTCCCCTTTGTGTAAAGGATTGCATGCTGGGAAGATCAGTGTTGTAAGGGCACATGGCCCCTTTGGACAGAAACATTGCCCAGAACATGATGGCTGTAAATTCATTAAGTAGCTGTTTCATTAGAAAACCTCATCTGGAGACTTGCTAAAGATTTCACTGCCTCCATCTTGTATTTTATTTAGGAGGTAAATATGGCTTCTGATTGTAACTGTGAAGAGTTTCCATTGAGAGTTTAACCAGACTGCATATTGTGCATTGCCTTTGTGCTTATTAATGAGCTGAGTCTGTGGCTTGCAGGGTTGGTTCCAATATTCTCTCAAATAGTGTTCAAGAATGGAGTAGATGTTCACAGTTGAGTCATTGAGTTGACAGTCAATTCATTTTACTTATTTGGAAACCTTCCGTTCTTGTTTTGTGATGCCTGTGTGTGCAGTGAAAGTCTCTACTTCCTGTTGTTGTTCACAGGAGGACAAGGCTACATACTCATTCCTGCACATATGCTGAAGGGGGACAGCTGGTCCAAACCTGGTGCTCTTTGTTCTGGTGTCTTGGGGTCAAGGAGACTGAAACTGACTATTGTTTGCAGCCTCCTGCTACATGCAAACATCAACCTATGTGACAGTAAATCTGTTTTTGTGCTAACCCTTTGTGTCTGTGTTATTCCCCCACAGGTATGTGGAGTTCAATCTTGTTTATGACAGAGGTACAAAGTTTGGCCTTGCAACGCCAGGATCCAGGATTGAAAGCATTCTTATGTCTCTGCCACTGACTGCCAGGTAAAGGAAAAGTTGCATGTTATTCACATGCTAGAACGCTGTTTGTTTTCTTTCCCGCTGTCCAGTCTTGGCCAGGTATTGGCAGCAGGAAATGTACCTTATACATACTTGCAGACTATATATCACTCCCCAATCCTACTGTTGTGAAACCAGCATGTTGCAGGGATGAACTGGTTTTATATGTTGAAGTACTCGGACGCTGCTTCCCTTCTCTACATGAAAAGTAGTTCCTAATAAAAGAATGAGAATATGGAAAAGGTTAAATACTCTCTACTGCTTGGAATATCTTTAACTATTTTTTTTCCACAGCTCCCCATACACTTTTATGGTTCCCTGTCATTTCAGCAGCAGCTTGTTGCTCAGTGGACTATTTTACCTTCATTTTTAACTTTGGATTATTGCAGAGCTCCGTGTTTAGTTTTGACATTAGACAATGAGCTAAGCAGTGGGTGAAAGGACCCAATGCTGCAGTTTGTGCATTGGGGCAAGAGGGAAGTTGAAACCTAAGGGTTCCCTCCCCCACCCCATCCATTGAATATAATGGGTGTAGAAATATCTATTCCTAACTTGAGATGAAGTTTCAGTTGTGTGTGACTATGGCATCCACAGAAAGGCCCAGCCATCCACATCCAATCAGAACACAGTTTTGGACAAGTGGTGTCCTGCCAGCCAGCCAGACTCTAATAGTTATATTCCCTCTTTCTTTGTTGTGCGCAGGTGGCAATACATGCACACGCCGCCAGAGAAGTCCAGAGAAGCTGAAATCCTGGAAGTCCTGCGCAATCCCAAAGACTGGGTGCACTGATGAATAGTGTGAGGGAGATGCTCAACTATAAGCAAACAACATGAACTCTTACCAACTGGCTCACTCAAACTGCCATTGCCTGGCAGTTTAGTGTCTGGATTTATATTCTTATCACGTGCCTTAAAAATGTTGTAAACTTGTCATCCTTTGCATGTTGGTACAGTGTTTCACTGGCAGACACACTTTTCTCTGTCTGTTGCCTTGTGGCGGGTACGTGAGCTATTAGTAGGACCAACTGATGTGTTCAGTAACTGTTTCAATTTGTCTAAACACACAATGGTATAAAATACTGTGAAATGTTCCCCTAAAGAATTAGTGTTTTCCAAGCTAAAGGTGACTTGTGCCCTAAATTACACTGCTTGCTGTTAGGAAATTCACAGGAAATTTTAACATTTTAAAAATAATGTTCTTATTTGTTTCATAGTTAAATGAGTATCTCTGTTCTGGTGCGTATTAAACCTCTTTTTAAATTCAGTTTCAAATACTTTATATCACAGTTATTTTTCACTAAGGGACAGATTTTTAAAGGTATTTTGGTGCCTGACTCCCATTGACGTCAGTGGGAGTTAGGCACCAAATTGGATTGGGTGCCCAAATACTTTTTTTAAATCTGGCCCTGCATTCCTAAAAATGTAGTTCCATGGAGTGGTGGTTGCTTTAAAAAACAAGTTGAAAATCCACTGAAAGCAGGTAGGAAACATTTGACTCTGGGCCAACTAAGGAAAATTAGCTCCCTTGCCATTTTTCAGACCTACCAAGCAGAGCTATGTTAAAGACAGACTGCACAAACAAAATAGTGAAGCTATACATTTTAATGAAGGTGTTTTTACTTTTAATCATATCCCAACCATCAAGACTGCAGTAAAAAATGTTTTATCAATGTGCTTTGTAGATCAAAAATCCTCTTAAGATGTATTAAAATTCACTAAAACAGAGCAAAAAGTATGTTTAAACAAAGTGCTGACCCAAAAGAGGAGGAAATCCATCTATATACTAGTTTTTACACTAGGTTTTATTTACATGAATGTACTTCTGAGCTAAAGCATCCTTCACTAACTGCTTACTCTGAGGCCTTTAGGGGATGGTGGCAAAGATTGTAGAGAACACTTACTATAGGAGGGAAGTTATGACATGCTGCACTGTACACTCTCACAGAAGAACATCCAACATTGTTAAATGTGGGTGTCTAAAGTTAAGCACTGAAATCCAGGATGCATTCAACCCCCCTTGATTATGTGGAATAGTCCCTTACTCCTTAAATAACTGTTCATGTCAGAGGGACTACTTGAGGAGTAAGGCACTACTCAGTATGAACAAGTGACAGAATCTCACCCCTTCCATGTCCGGGTATCTGAGGCGGCCTGATCTAAACAAAGCTGCACCAGTTTAGTTAAAGGTCTGATCTTAAACCAACTTAGTTAAACTGGTGTAGCTTTGTGTGGCACTATTATATTTACTTCAACCTGGCTAATAGTAGCTTAGTTTGCACTGACAAATTTAAACCGGGTATAAACAGGTATGAATGTCCACATAGAGACTTGCACTAGTTCACCTGGTTTACTAATTCAATTAAAGTTTAACCAATGGCCAAACCCCAAGTGCTCAAGTTCAAAGGTGCTCAGAATCTTTGAATATCAGGCTTTTTTTTTTTAGGTGTTTATAGAAACCCAAATCTGAAAAATGTGCACTGTTTGTTTTAGCAAGATGGTATTTACAGCTTTCTTCTGTTTGCTATTTGATTTGTCATTTGACACTACTGTGAAACTGAATAAAGTGGCTAGCGCTGCAAATGTGTTAGTGGTCACTGGTTTCTCATGGTGAAAGAGCAAAAATTATCGAAATAATTTAATCACAGGCAGGGCCGGCTCTAGACACCATCAAACCAAGCACGTGCTTGGGTCAGCACAATTTCAGGGGTGGCTTTCAGGCCCCCTTTTTTGCTTTAGCAATTGCGTTCCCGGAGGTGGGGGTTTTATTTTTTCTTGGGGCAGCAAAAAACCTAGAGCCGGCCCTGATCACAGGTACTTTTTAAACAATCTATTCTAATCCTATTCACAAATAGGAGTGTGAGTGCCATGATAAGCACAAGCCGAGTTCTCTGTTAGCCCTTGCAATTTTATCATCAAGCTTATGATATTTGGTGATTTTCTTAAAGCCCTGGTTCTCAGGGGCAAGTGCTTACCGGAGAATCTCTGCTTTCTGCTTCCGGAGAAAAGCCTGAAACCATGAACAGAGTGTAATTCAAAGGTTCAGAAGCCAGAAAGCCAATAAAAAGAACCCATTTTGTGACTTTGTGACTCCTGATGTTTAGCAGCTGACTTTTTTGGAACACTTGGGGTTGGCAATAAACGTATAGGATTTGCTACATATTGGCTGATGCTGTAAAGGGAGGAAGGTCTGATTTCCATAACTAGTGCTATGAACAAATTACTCTGAGACCAGATTCCCCTTCTAGATAGCATAATCTTCCCAGAAAGCCTCTATCTAATTGCCCTAAGTGCAGGGAGCTCAGCAACTGGAGCAGAAACAAGGCAAGCATGTTAGATAGTGAGGGTTTCTGAGCCTCGGCAGTAACCGCAAGGAGATTGGCTAGGTCTGCTCTACATTCTTCCCTTGATCTCTCTGGGACAAATTGATTTCATTAGCTGATTTTTTCCCCCCCTATATGAAGTTCACAATGTCTTTTATTTTGGGGTGATCGACAGAATCAGTCCTCTCCATTCATTGATCTTAATGTTCCTGACTGTCGTGACCCTGCACCAAGATTGATGCTTGCATTGGGTGTTATCAGTGTGAAAACTTAACTCTTCATTTTTTGAACAGCTACAAACAACATTCAGTAATGACATCTGGGGCTTGCAGTGTTTACCATGGAATACCAGGTCAGAGGGTCCAACTGGTAGCGCTAGGTGCCATGGGGCTAGTAGAAGCCCCTGCTTAGTAAACAGGAGATCCTGGGTTATCACACTTCCCAGAGATTATTCAAGACTTCATCCTTCAGAGAAAGCTAAAGGTAGAGTTGCTGCACCAGTCTCTTCTTGAGATAAACTTCCCCCACTTTGCTAAAATTAGGATGCTTTTGCAAAAGAACTTGATATTTCCAGTGTTCAATTTAAGGACTCCTAACCTGTGGGGGTGAATTCTTCTCTGACATAACTGTACAGAAGACATAGTTGACCATCAGTTGAGTTAATGTGAAATTAGAGGGGATAAAACTGCTGATAATGCTCCAGCCCAGTCTTGACTATGGAGAGAGTCATCCATTGCTCCAGGATTTTACTCCATGGATTGCATTAGGCAAGAGCAGCCTGTTAATTTCTGTGATTAAAAGGAAATGGTACCAGCAAGTATTGTAGATGAGGAAAGTCCCCTATTCTCTGAACAGAAAATGCCACAATCTGCCAGCATGGGACCCTGCATTTCCTAGGCTGATCTAGACAGGTAGCTGGGAAGAGATCTGAGTTTTTCAATCACTCAGTGAATTATTAAGAAGAATTAATATGATTTCCTCAGTTTCCCTCCCTCCTTGTAAACTCCCCTATCCTCTCCAAGTAGCCAGCAGCTCACCTTCCCCAAAATATTTTCCTCCACGTTTTTAGTCGTGAGTATTTAAAATTAGCAAACTAAAAGAGAATGTTGATGAAATGTCAGGGACTTCCTTGATGTGCTGCAATGTAGTCTCAGGTTAGTAAGAGCTAGAGCTAAGAAAAGTATGGATGTATTTTTCACAAAAAGAACCAGGCTGCGGAGACATCAGCAGGAAGGAAGCAAGTACCTGCTTGTACCAGGTAGTTCTAGCTGAGGGGGGTTAAGGTAATGGCTTAGAAATCAATTGGGATCTCCCTATGCAGGTTTGACTCCTACAAGCTGTGTGTTCCAAATAGTCTTATTTCTGCTGCCAGCAGATTTATTTCCCCCCAAGCCACAGAAACAAGCAGCCACTCCCACTTCTCCTGGCTTTTCCCATAACCCTTTTCAACCCAGCAGTTAAGAGGCCTGACTTCTAAAGAGAGGCCATTTCACATGCTGCTATGTAATTTTCAAGAAACTTTATCATCAGTGATATCAGCAAATTAATCTAAAGAATGGGTCACCAAGCCCCAACAGAGAGACTTTGCTGGGATTGTTGTGTTAATCCAAATCCCTTCACTAAGGAAATCAGGATGGTTTTAGCAGCCCCCATGAACACACTGCTGTGAGCCTTGGCAGGAATTCCCACAAGGGGCTAGCCAGAGAGCTATGCCTTTTACCTTGTTGTCTCTCTGGAGCAGTTCAAAGGTTGAGTGCATTGGCTGTGTTTCCCCAGATCAGTTTCATCATGCTTTTTCCCTCTGAGTGATTTACAGTGTCCACAATATTCAATCAGTGGCTTCAGACTCCTAACTGTCCCTCATGTCACCACTAAAGACTGTTCACTGTGTTACTGTTGCTGAGTTTCTGTACAAGGCACAATGATGCATTATTTGGAGAGCTATAAGAGGCACAAGTAAAGTTGAAGGCAGTTTCCAGAACTCAAAAGCATTTACCCCATTTAGAGCCCATAATGCAAGAGCTCACTGTTGATTGGCTAGTTAAGGCACCTGCCTAATAAATAGGAGGTGCTGGGGTCAAGTCCCACCAGTGCCCCGGTACTTACTCACTTCCCTCTGACCTTTAGGAAAAGTTTAGATCTCCCTGACAGCAGAGCCGCAAGGCTCACTCTCAGCTGGTGCAATCACTTCACACAGCCTGTAGAAGCTGTCACCATGAGCAAAGCTATTTCAGTGGGTTTCTTGATTTTTGGTTCCAATCCTGCCTGGAACTTTTGGGGGTTTCCGCCCGATACATGGACAAAACCCCTGATGTATTGCTGGGCCCTGAGATTGGAGAGATTTTCAGTCCTTCCCAGGGCTGGATTTCCAATTAGGCACACTAGGCACGTGCCTAGGGGCCTTGGGTGGCAGGTATCGTAGGCTGTGCCTCCCCAAACAGCCTGGTGTGGCCTGCCCACACTCCACTCCCAGGTCCCCTCCTGCCATTCCCAGCGCTCTGCCCTGGCCCAGGCTGGCTGGCACTCAGGCTGTGCTGCCCACCTGGTACACTGAGGCCAGGGGTATTGCTGCGGCTGTGCCGCCCACTGCACTGGAGTCAGGGGCACTGATTTGGACCAACTTCTGTTGGTGAGAGAGACAAGCTTTCAAGCTTATGCAGAGCACTTCTGGTCTGGAAAACCTACTCAGATGGTCACAGGTAAATACAAGGTGGAACAGATTGTTTAGCATAAGTAGTTAACACATATTTCAAGGGAACATTCAAGGTGAAGTGGCCTGTTAACACCTCTTCTGTCACAGGAGGGAGGGGATAAAGGCAGCTAGGAAGGATGTTAAGTGGGTTACAGATTATTGTAATAAACCATAAATCCAGTGTCTCTATTCAGTCCATGATTTTTAGTGTCTAGCAGAATTATGAATTTAAGCTCCCAGCTTCATCTTTTGAAAGTGTTGTACAGGTTTCCTTTGAGGATGAGGACTAAGAAATTGGCTATAGAGTGATCACTTTGTGAAAAGTGTTCACCCACAGGTGATGTGTTTTTTGTCTTTTAACATTTTCTGGTGTTAACCATTCATGGTTATTGTCTGGTTTTCACATGCTTTTCATCTTTAGCTAGCATCCATCTAACACAGTGTTTTTTAAACTTTTTTTCTGGCGACCCAATTGAAGAAAATTGTTGATGCTCCTGACCCAACAGAGCTAGGGATGAGAAGTTTGGGGTGTGGGAGGGGCTCAGAGCTAAAGCAGAGGGTTGGGGTGCGGGGTGGGGCCAGGACTGAGGGGTTCAGGGTGTGGGAGGGGGCTCTGGGCTGTGGCAGGGGGTTGGGGTGCAGGAGGGGGTCAGGGTTCTGGGCTAGGGCTGGGGGATTTGGGGTGCAGGAAGGGGTTCCAGGTTTGGAGGGGCTCAGGGCTGGGGCAGGGGACTGGGGCATGGACTTACCTCCGGCAGGTCCCGGTCAGCAGCGCAGCTGGGGTGCACCGCGGACTGCGCTGTGCCCCAGATGCAGCCAGCAGCAGGTCTGGCTCCTAGGTGGAGGCATGCAAGCAGCTCCGCGCAATTCTCGCCCGCAGGCACCGCGCCCCCAGTTCCCATTGAACAACTGCAAATAGCATTATTTCTTTATGTGACAGGGGAAGCAGCAAGATAGGTGTATCATACTTTTCAATTTGATGATGTGGCAGAGAAAGAAAAATACAGGTCTTAAAGAATAAGTTGGAGGCATACTGTGGACCTCAAAGAAATGTCACATGTGAAAGGCACAGATTTTTCACCAGAAGTCAGACAGATGGGGAAAGTAGAGACTAATATGTGACTGATTAAAACTGGCAGCATAATCTTGCAAATTTGGAGAACTCTGTGAATCACTCATTAAAGACCAACAGAGAGTCCTGTGGCACCTTTAAGACTAAAAACATCTGTTAGTCTTAAAGGTGCCACAGGACTCTGTTGCTTTTTACAGATCCAGACTAACACGGCTACCCCTCTGATCATTAAAGACCGTGTTGTGTGTAGTATTGTGCCATTCTCAGCACAAGCCAGGTTGTTGAAGGAGACTAAGGCTATGTCTACACTGGCAATTGAACGACAAAACTTTTGTCTTTCAGAGGTGTTAAAAAAAAATCCCCAGAAAGACAAACGTTTTGCCGACAACAAGTGCCAGTGTGAACTATGCTTTGTCGGCAGAAGCACTCTCCTGCTGACAACGCAAACACTGTCATTGGGGGGTGGAAGTTTTTTGTTGTCAGCAGAGCCGACAAA